TTTCATCAGCCAGAGGAAGAGATGTAATGTTTGGACATTCACAGACCGTTAATGATTCAAGGGGAATAGGATTTGAATTGCTACAAAAATTCAAAGTCGTCCACTCCATATTGTCATATATCTTCAAGGTCTTGAGCTTAGCAGGCAAAGAGGGCAACTCTTTCAACTTCGGGCAGTGATATAGCTCCAGTTCAATTAAGCAAGGAAACAAACATCCATCTTCAGCAGCTACTCCTGCCTCAAACCAATCCTCTAATTCTTCTAATTTCTCAATATATAACTTCTCTAGCACTGGAAAGGTACGGTATTTATCATTCCCATTAAATTTACTTACGAGCCATTTTACTTTTGGCATGTTATCAAGTTTGAGAGACTTGAGGAAGAGAAGTTGCCCAAAAGGTGGAAGAGTTTCACACTCCAAGCATTCTGTCAATTCGATTTTCTCTAGATTGAAGATCGGATTGACATTGTTCATCCACATTGCAGATCTTGCACCCATGTATCTCTTTATGCTCAGATTCCTTAGACATTTTGGTGGCTGAAGATTGTCGAGCACGTTCTCATTGAAATTGATGTTCCTCAAATCAGTGTTACTCCAACATAAAATCAAATCTGCGAGCCTCCTCTTGGCACATAATTTGGCACTACAAGCCTCCTCGGCATCCTTAATATTTTCAAGGCAATTGATTCCTAATTTGCAAAGATCATTCATGTTCTCTAGCTCCCCAATTCTATAACCACTCGCATCTCCAAGATCAAACATTTTCAATTCTTGAAGAAACTTTAGCTTCCCAATCCCACCTATCGATGAAATACAATTCTTGGGCAATTTCACGTAATGCAAGTTAGAAAGGTTATTAATGTCACTTGGAAAAAAATCAGCACCTTTCTCTAGCCCATCATAGATTATGTATTGCAAGTGATAGAGATTACTTAGAGATTTTGGCAGCATAGTCAAATAAAAACTATCAATCTTTAAGTATCGAAGATGTATCAAATTTTCAATCTCCTCAGGTATCAGCTCCAAGGTTAATGGCGCAAATATCTCTAACAAGCGTAGGCTTCTCAATGCTTTGAATATTTTACTAAGTGCATAGATATCCTGATAAGAAGGTAGATAGAACAAGGAAAGAGAATGCAAATATTTAAACTTCCCAATCGCTTTTATGATGCCTGGATTTGTAGTTTTAACAGACAAGTATCGAAGAGTCTTAGGAATTGGAGAAGGCAACTTTGTACTATCCTCAACTCTTAAGCATTCATGTATGGAAACAGATTGTGCTAATTCATGTATTAAATCATGCATCTTATAGTAATAATCTTCAAACTTGTCAAAGAAATTTTTTCTAACCAAAACATCAAAATACCTTCCTCCGATATCCTC